CAGAGATTTAGCAAGTGGTAACCCGAGATAGGGTCTTTTCTCTCTTTTACACAATGTCCTCTCCAGAGATGCTTGCCCAGGGCCTATTCTATTGAGTTTGAAGCATCCAGTTAGAACGCCGGTTAAAATTCATGCTTGCTCTTTCATGAACAATAAGCCTGCTGTTGTAGGTGACAACTGAGGTTTTATTGGTTTTAGACTCTTCTACTGGACACTGATTTATTAGTAAATGTTCTAGTTGGTGTGGAAGACACCTGGGAAATTCTATTCCAAAAGTTGGTATTTGAATGAATGGATGCATAAATAGGTGGGTAAACCAAAGACGGGGTGAGCTCCTGTCTCTAGTTCCAGCTCCTGCCAACCTAGCAGTTCGAAAGCAAGAAATTGCAAGTAGATAAATAGGGACCACTTCGGTGGGAAGGTAACAGCATTCCGTGCGCCTTGGTGTTTAGTCATGCCGGCCACATGACCACGGAAACGTCTTCAGACAGCACTGGCTCTTCGGCTTTGAAACGGAGATGAGCACCGCAACCCTAGAGTCGGATTCGACTGGCTTTCGAGCAAGGGAACCTTTACCTTTACCTTAAACCAAATTTGCATTATTTTTACAGGGCATCACAATGAAGATTGCCGTGCTGTGCTTGTGTCTTTTCACCATCGCCTTTGCGATACCAGTAAGTGTGCAGAAATACTTGTAACAGCCACAAAACAAGCCATGCACGTTTTTGTAATGTAGTAGCAGTGGATCAAGGCTGAATCTTTGTTCTCTTGTCCCCGCTTTCATACTTTACTAGGTGGGTAAACCAAATCTGCATTATTTTTACAGGGCATCACAATGAAGATTGCCGTGCTGTGCTTGTGTCTTTTCACCATCGCCTTTGCGATACCAGTAAGTGTGCAGAAATACTTGTAACAGCCACAAAACAAGCCATGCACGTTTTTGTAATGTAGTAGCAGTGGATCAAGGCTGAATCTTTGTTCTCTTGTCCCCGCTTTCTCTCAAAGATTAAAAAAACGAAATTCCACGATGGTGCAGGGAGTTCAGAAGACAACCATGTAAGTCTTTCCCCACCTTTGTCATCAATTCCTACCCACTGAGTTTGTTAAATTATAATCCAGAATGAAATATAGCAATGCCAGATTTTTATGCAGATTATCTAGGATTCGGCTGAAATAAGAACTACCTTTTCATGAAATAGTTCGCCCCTACAGAAAGGGGACCTCCATTTCAGTGATGGGGGGTGGGGTAGCATCCAAGCGCAAGGGCAAGCATGTTTTCCTGCAGCCACTTCAAAGGGGGAAAGCTACAATACTCTTAGCCAATGGGACTCTTGGCAAGTGTTTTGCCAGAGGAAAGGAGGGGACTGCAATTTTGTGGCACTTTCTTATGCCAAGGAAGCTCCGTTCTTTCCAAGGAAATACGAAGACTCGCCCTTTGCTGTGGAAATTTCATTGCGCAATTAGTTAGTAGATTCTCTACTCCTGCCAACCTGGCAGTTTGAAAGCAAGTAGATAACTAGGTACTGCTTCAGTGGGAAGGTAACAGCGTTCCGTGTGCTTCAGTGTTTAGTCACGCCATCCACATGACCCCAGAAACCTCTTCGGAGAGCACTGGCTCTTCAGCTTGGAAACAGAGATGAGTACCGCCCCCTAGAGTCAGATTTGACTAGCTTTTGAGCAAGGGAAAACTTTACCTTTTTTAAGATTCCCTATGCCCTGACCTGGCTGGCCCAGGCTAACCCGATCTCCTCAGATCTCGGGGCTAAGAAGGATCAGCCCTCGCTAGTACTTGGATGGGCGACCACCAAGTAATACCAGGGTTGCTACACAGAGGCAAGCAATGGCAAACGACCTCAGTACATCTCTTGCCTTCCCTATGGGGTTGCCATCAGTCGGCTGTGACTAGACAGCACTTTCCACAACCAGATTCTCTATGCCAAGACGGCTTAACAATTGATAAAAACATAGGAAATGGCAGCAGGTCAAACAATTTTCCAATAAACAAAAACAGTTAAACCCAAGCACGAACATAAAATTGCTTCAGAGACCTTATGGAACACATTTTCACCCCTGCTGCCACCAGAGTGGGGCACCAACTGCATCTTCTGGGGGGAGGAAGTTCTACAGTTTGGGGGCAGCAGCCAAGAGTGGATCTTGGCATAGACCCAACACTGTCATTGTGTGTGGAACATAAGAAGAAGAAGAAGAGATTGGATTTATACCCCGCCCTTCACTTGAAGTCTCAGAGTGGCTTACAAACTCCTTTCCCCTCCCCTCCCCACAACAGACACCCTGTGAGGTGGGTGGGGCTGAGAGAACTCTGACACAAACTGCTCTTTTTCAAGGACAGCTGTGCCAGAGCTTGTGACTAACCCAAGGTCACATCAGCAGGTGCAAGTGGAGGAGTGGGGAATCAAACCCAGTTCTCCCAGATTAGAGTCCGCGCACTTAACCACCACACCAAATTGGCTCTTGAGAGACAATAAGATTGTCTCTCAAGGTTTCAAGAGCATTGTTAGACCTCCCCTCTATAACTCAGTCTGACCCTTTTTAAAAGCCACCAGGAGTTGTCCCTGCCTCTGCTCTGTTGTGGAAAAACAAATTCCATAAGTAAATTAGACGCTGTGGAGAAGAAGTATTTCCATTTGACATCCTCAACCTACAATTTCATGGATGATCCTAGCTTTAGCATTATGGGGAGGGAAAACCTTTTATTCACTATGTTTATCATGATCTTATCGATCTCTTTCATGTTCCTCCTTAGTCATCTTTCTTTTTCTCTCAACTTAAAAGGTTCTGACCAGTCTTTCCTTGTAGAAAATGTACATTCTCTTGGTTGTTCCAGTAGCCTTTGGAGATGGAGCAACCAGAACTGCATGCCATGTTCCCAAAGTGGTTGTACCATGGATTCTTATAACATCATAGCTCTTCTAACTTTGTCCTGGTCATCCCTTACCATTCACCTGTCGCGCAGCACGTTTGGAGAAGTTGAACCAGCACCTCAGTCACACTTGCACTCACCAGCAGTCATTCCACTCACCAGAGGCTTTCCAATAGTCAACCACACTGAGACAGTCCAGTGGTTACTATATACAGGACATTTATTTACAGTATATACAGCTCGCCAACAAACTGCTCCGCCAGACACCATCCACCATTCGAGAGAGAAAATACAGTGCTACACATCCACATATATACATTGGTCAGCCAATCAGATCATGGTGACTTGGTTTGTCTCTGCCAAGTGCAAACTGGCTGAATCCGGTTCAGTGCAGCTGTCAGATAGATGCTTCTGATCATTGTGCTGAAGCTTACACACCGACATCACCACCACAGTAGGAGACGTCCATTTTCCCCTTTTCATCCATGATTTCTATTGTGGGTATCTGCTTACCACGTCATATGTCCTTCTTCCGTGTTCAACAAACCCTGTGGTGCAGGATGTTTTATAATGTATATTAACATAACTCTTTGTATTGTTGCAGGATTCCAGGGGTCATCATGTTCACAAACACCGCCACCACCACCACCACAGCCATTCCCAGAGCCAGGAACATAGCCCTGAGCATGTGAACAGCCATGAGTCACAAGAACATCAGTTACCCTCTCATCAGGTCTGACATACTACTTCAATATGTAGTCTTTCCAATAATCTGTTTTTGGGGGGCGGGCTGTTTGTCCAGGCAGATTTCAGCAGCAGTAGCAACTTAAGTTGTACCTTTTTTGGGTATCGATACAGGCCTTGATGCAGCTAAATTTTATCAGACTTAAGCCCCACTGGTACCAACAGATGATCTTTGTCTCAAGCAACAAGCCCTGTGGCTTTCATTGGCACTTAGTAATTATTAGCTTAGCTTGGTCCTGGTGCTACGGTATTTTTAATATTAATCTTTACCCATTTTTCTATTTATTTTCAATTTTCATTTACTGTGTTTTTTGTCTGTTAATCAGACTATTATAGTTAAGGATAATACTTTCAAAAATTAAATTATGAGATTTAAAAAAAAAATTTCCTGGGGTTCATTTATTGTGCTGGGAACAGGACTGTATAACACTGATATTTCATTTTCATTTCCAGAGCTCTGATTCAGATGAAAGCGAAGAGATCACTGAGCAACAAGTAAGTCTTCTTTTACAGTATAACCCACCAAAATGACCTGCCAGTGATTGCACCCTGTACGCTGTTTCATCCATATTTTTTTTAGCCTCAGTGAAAGTTCTTCTCGTCTCTTTTATTAATTTGGCTGCTACTTCCTGCACTGTGAGGACCTCAGGACTAAGTACAGATAGGAAATAAGTACCCGTTACAAGGCAAACATGGGTAATCCAAGCCTGTTTGCCTCTGAGGCACTGTTCATTTTTACTTCTCTTGCTTATGGGGTGAGCTCTGAAAACAGGGTGCTGAAATCTGCCATTGATATTTATGTTTCGGCGATATCTGCCTAAGTGTAGCCCCTCAATGTTCCTCAGTGTTTGAGCAATATTGAGTTGCTCCTATTCTTTTTGCAGACCCTTCTGGTACATCCTGATAAAAGTGCGGAAGATGACCACAGTGATGTGGATGACCACGATGATGTAGATGATCATGACGATGTGGATGATGACAGCCACGGTGAGGCGGATGACTCCGATGAGTCCCACGAATCAGACGATTCCCATCAAGTGGTCACTGAGGTTCCCACTGACAGACCTTTCACTCCATCTGCCGCCCCTGGCCCATTTACAGGCAGAGGTGACATTCCTTATGGAATACAGCATGGGCAACTGAAGTTTTTGAGAAAGTCCAAAAAGTCCTCCGAACAGGTAAATCGTATTCCTTCAAAGCTGCAACCACAGATTAGTGGAGTAGCAGCCAAAAATGTTGAAGTAGGAGGTAGTGAGGAAGAATTGGTTAGCTGACCCATTTAAAAACATAACCCATCTGCTGTGGTATGGTTTGCATGCTACATTTGCCAGAGGAATTCTTACTTTGTGATCCCCACCCACCCCGTGGTATAATTCCATTGGCAGAAATCGTATTGTTTTTGGGTTTTTTTAAAAAATCCCAGCCTAGGGATTGGTGGTGGGGCTTTATATGCAAAAGTTTCCCGTTTCATTTTCTGGCATCTCCTGTTAAAGGATCTCAAGCCTCCAAATGGGCCTGGATTTTCCCTGGAAAAACAACTGATCTCCCAACTACAGAAAGTAGTTGCCCTGAAGAAAATGGCCGCTTCAGAGGGCAGTGTCTATGGTACACCATAGATCTAGGTGAAATCCTTTCCCAGATTCACCCTTCCTTAGGCACAGCCCCCAAATACCCAGAAATTTCCCAGGCCAGAGTTGGAAACCCAAGTAGCATGGGTTGGAAAAGACATCTCTGTATACCAAGAAGAGCCACACTACCATAGTAGGCAGCACCTCTCTAGGTAAAGCAAGAGTCCATCTTGGTATACGTTCACTACAGCTCCCGGGACCCGTCAAGATGGCTCTGCAGTGCCCAGGCAGAGCTTCCACTGGCGAGTGGCCAGCGCACAAGGGGGGTGACCCAGGAGGAGGGGAGACAATCGCACCAGGCCGATTGCCCGGCGCGAGGGCCCAACCACAGCACAGAGCAGCATGGAGGGAGAGAGACGTGGGACGGGCAGGGGCGCTAGGACCGGAAGGAAGCCTCACCCCAGCCCAGCGTCCCAGTACAAGAGGAGGGGGCGGGACTGTCCCTGGGGTGGAGGGCGGACCACAGAAAGGAGCAGGTGACACAGGGCGGGAATAAAAGGAGAAACTGAAGCGGAGGCCAGGGAGGAGAAATGCAACACTGACAGCACCAAAGGGAGAAGTGAGAGAGAGACGTGTCAGAGTGTGCCGAGGGAGTGCGGAGGGTGGTGACATAACCTCCTCCCCTCCCGAACATCTGAGGCCTCTGTGGTTCCCCTTTCTCACTCCTCGGAGCAGCAGGGGGCCAGCGACAGCGACGAGAGGTTGTCGAGCTCATGTGACAATCAGTAACATCAATTGCTGACAAATTACATAGTTGGACAGTATCATTTGTTGCGGCTATGAAGGTGCCAGTTGTAATAGGCACTGAAGGTGTTGCTGAACAGGAAAGGAAATAAAATTCTTTGAAGAAATTCCCTAGCTTAAAAACAAAACACCGTAACTGATGGGAAAAGCTCCCACAGAAATTACACAAGATAATAGCTCCCTCAGATTCTCCAAGACAGAAATTGATTTTTTTTAAAGTGGAATCACATGGCAAGTTTCTCTCCCTCCTGGCAGACACATAAAATAATGAAATATCATGCAAAGTCTATGCTTATTTCTACATCTGTTTAACTGTCAGAATGGCCTTATTCTGATTGATGAATAAACAGAGATGAAATCATTTTCATTACTGAGAAACAGTCTTTCTAGATGAGTTCCTAGAGTAGGCCAAAAGCCTACATAATACCATTAACTTAAATTGGTTAACAGTTCCTCGGAACTCTGGGAGCTGAAGTTGTGTATGGAAAGCTTAACAAAAATGTCAATACCTTCCTGAAACTACAACTCCCAAAATTCTTTGAGTGATAAGCTATGACAGTTAAACATTCACACATACACAGGCCTTCAGAGCTCCAGAACTTGATCGTGCTGCAGGGCCAGCCACCTTCCAACATCTCTCCTTCATCGTGGCTTCTATAGACACATAAGACATACACTCAGACCGTGCAACAATAATGTGGATCGGGGGGGGGGGCTCCCCAAGATGACTCCCCCCGGACACCTCTTTGGGTGCCAACAAAGTATTTTTCAGAAAGCTCATCAGGGCTTCTGATTGGTCACCGGAGATCTGATTGGCTGTGCATACTAAAATAACATTGTTTTGGCAGCAGCTGCCATCACAGTGTTGGTTTTATTCTCTCCCGCACTCCTCTTTCCCAGTGTTTTTTTTAAATTACTTCTCGTTGTGTGTGTTTGTGGCTCCACCCACTATGGCAGGCATTTTGTGGTTGGCTCTCCTTCCCATGGCAGCCATGTTGTGGTTGTGCTCACCACGTTGTGTCAGAATTCCAAAGGTTCCCACAGGCTCAAAAAGGTTAGGGACTCTTGGTGTAGATGTACATTCTAAGTCTGGGATATCCACTGATAATCTTTCTTCTCTCTTCTTACAGTTCGATTCTCATGACACTACACAGGAAGATGACAGTTTACCAGATGTAGACAGCCACGAAACCCATTCTTCCAAAGCCGTTTCTCATGAAAGTCAAGATACCAGCACAGAAAGTGAGGACAAAAGTAACCTGCAAGACAGCAATGAGGTCCACAGTGCATCCCACGATAAGAGTGTAGAGAATGACAGCCGACAGAAACTTGACAGTGTCGAGGAAGACCATGACAACAGCAAAGCTGACATCTCCCAGGAGAGTGACGGGATTGACCACATCACTGAGCTACTGAAGGCCCGCAGGGGGGAACCCCAAGAGGCAGACCATGACCATGATGTAGACAATGATCATCACAGTGTTGAGGACAATGAGATTGAATACTAAGTGAAAACCAACGCAGGGTCCAAAGAAACACACTTATCTCAGAGAATCCCTCCTGGATTTTTGCATGAGTGGGCGCATATAGGATTGGAACCCAAATCCATCTCTTCTTTTTTTTAAAAACTTTTGCTGCATTAGAAAGAAGGGCAATACAATTCTTACTTGAATATCTGCTCCCAGTTATATACAAATCAGAAGTCTGATTGCAAGCAGTAGCAGTTGCTGACAGTGGGCATTGCTACCCAGGCAGATAATGCACCTTAATCCTATGCATGTTTCCTTGGAATTAATTCCTGCCACACTAAATGGGGCTTATAGCCAAGTAAAAATGTTTAGGGTGGCATCTTAAGGGTTCAGTACCAGCAGTTCCGACCATTAGTAAATCGTAAGCCCTTCTTGTTGCATAGTCTTCTGCTCAATCACCTGGTGGTTTGTTCTAAAGGAAAGAGAGGAGACGATAATGACGGGGGGATCTAGTTTTTCACTCAGACTGAATGTTATGTCTTACGATACTGTACTTCTAAGGGGTTTGATGTTGCAATGTATATTTTTGTTGATAATGGTGAGTTAAATAAAAAGACAAAAACCTTACATCTGGATCTTAAAATGGCTTTTATTCTAGGTGCACAGCTATTAGGAAGTCAATCTGGTCTTCCAGATCTCCTGTGCTGGCAGCAGTATTGTGCTCCCTCTTGTGGTGTATGACAGCCCCATCCACTTCCCTCCCTCAGAGGCAAGATTATCCCTCCATTTTTCTTTTCCTTTACTGACTGAGCCACCCTAGTAATGTGTCTTCTTCTTTGCTGAACAATCCGGCTGTCCCACCCTTTTCCCCAAAGCAAAGAGCCAGTCCCAGTTGCCACCCCCCATTTCAGCAGGCTGTCAGAAGAGCCCAAGAGACATCTTTGTGTCTGCCTCCAGAACCTATTCATGAACTGCTGCCTCTATCATAGGGGAAAGCTTGGCTTGAAACCTTCTAACAGGAAGTACTTCTTCACCCAAAGAGTGATTAACACATGGAATTCACTGCCACAGGAGGTGGTGGTGGCTACAAGCATGGACAGCTTCAAAAAGGAACTGGATAAACATATGGAGCAGAGGTCCTTCAGTGGCTATTAGCCACAAGGTATAGATAGGAACTCTCAGGCTGGGGCAAGTGATGCTCTGTATTCCTGGTGCTTGGGGGGGGGGCAACAGTGGGAGGGCTTCTAGTGTCCTGGCCCCACTGATGGACCTCCTAATGGCACCTGGGATTTTTGGCCACTGTGTTGGACTGGATGGACCTTGTCCTGATCCAACATTGACTTCTCTTATGTTCTTATGTTCTTAACATTTTGTTACGGGCTCCAGCTTCTAAGGCAGCCGTTGGTCATGCCTTGAGTCAGCCATTTTTGGTGGCACTGGCACCAATTCCAAAATTGACCACAGGATTGTTCTAGAATGAAGGTTCAAAAGACTGTCCTGGCAGTTTGGGGGGCGGTTCCTGAGGTGGGCAGAGCTTGTGAAGGATGTGATATCATTTTCTGGTGCCACTTTAGGCTGCCTTCTCTGCTCTCTATGGTCTTTACCTAGAGTTGCCAACTCCAGGTTGGGACATTCCTGGAGGGGTGGGGCCTGGGAAGGGTGGGGTTTGAGGAGGGAAGTGACATCAGTGGGGTACAATGCCATACAGTCCACCCTCTACAGCACCCATTTTCTCCTGGGGAACAGCTCTCTGTAGCCTGGAGATCAGTTGTAATTCTAGGAGATCCAAACCCCACCTGAAGTTTAGCAACCCTAATAGAGACACGATGGATACCTAGCATGTCACTATGTGCAGGCCGTTTTTTTCTTTCATTCAGTTCCTCATAGGCGGGAAACTGGGGCTGGTGGCTGGTGATGCCCTGCCTCAGAGCAAGTAAATGAAAGCCCTATATAGGACACATGGAAAGCTTCCAGATTTTGAGCACCATACCGTTACTTGGCATAATTTGCATTGGGACACAGAAACCTAACAAAATGCCAGTTCCATTCTCCCAGACCTCACTTTAGTCCACGGTGCCTTTTTATGATCCCATAAAAGGCACTGCCTAACCCTTATGAGACAGTCTCCCGTACTCATCCACCACAACCTTGGAGGAGCATTCTCTCACAAGCTTGGGCTAAACCATATATTTCTCTACGTTTTAATCAGGAGATAGAAACATTAAACACCAGATTGAAAGCTGTCTTCCTCCTCCTTCACATATTTATTATTTATTTATTATTTTGATTTATAGCTCGCCCTCCCCGCAAGCGGGCTCAGGGCGGCTCACAAATAGGGCACATGCCAATACATAAAACAGGTTAAAAACAACATAGAAGCAGTCATTTACAATATTGCACAGTGCTCTAGATGTTTCAAATCAGTCTTCAATAAAAAGATGGCATCTTGAAGATGGTACTCCCAGTTCAGTTCACATGCACGCACGCACACACGCACACGCACACACACGCACGCACACGCACACAATTTTTCATGAAGAAAAAATCCCAAACTGGAAACAGCCAGCCCAAAAGATAAGATCCAAATGCCACAGACCGGTAGTACTCAAACTGAGGGTCAGGAACCCAAAGTTGGTTGTGACCAGGTTATGCTATGGTGGGAGAGCTCTTGCCCTAGCCTCTGCCTTTCTCACTGCTGCTCAGAGCAAGTAAATGAAAGCCCTATATAGGGCACATGGAAAGTTTCCAGATTTTGAGCACCATACCGTTACTTGGCATAATTTGCATTGGGACACAGAAACCTAACAAAATGCCAGTTCCATTCTCCCAGACCTCACTTTAGTCCACGGTGCCTTTTTATGATCCCATAAAAGGCACTGCCTAACCCTTATGAGACAGTCTCCCGTACTCATCCACCACAACCTTGGAGGAGCATTCTCTCACAAGCTTGGGCTAAACCATATATTTCGCTACATTTGAATCAGGAGATAGAAACATTAAACACCAGATTGAAAGCTGTCTTCCTCCTCCTTCACATATTTATTATTTATTTAATATTTTGATTTATAGCTCGCCCTCCCCGCAAGCGGGCTCAGGGCGGCTCACAAATAGGGCACATGCCAATACATAAAACAGGTTAAAAACAACATAGAAGCAGTCATTTACAATATTGCACAGTGCTCTAGATGTTTCAAATCAGTCTTCAATAAAAAGATGGCATCTTGAAGATGGTACTCCCAGTTCAGTTCACATGCACGTACGCACACACGCACACACACGCACACAATTTTTCATGAAGAAAAAATCCCAAACTGGAAACAGCCAGCCCAAAAGATAAGATCCAAATGCCACAGACCGGTAGCATAGTTCCCTCTAAGCTGAGTTGGTGTGAGCTAGCTCACAGATTTTTAGCCTCCGGCTCACACATTTTTGTCTTAGCTCAGGAAGGATGGCTCCAGAGCAGACTAATTTATGCAGCAGTCAAATCACTCGCTCACAACTTTAATGCCGGTGGCTCACAAAGTAGAATTTTTGCTCACAAGACTCCACAGCTTAAAGGGAACATTGACCGGTAGTACTCAAACTGAGGGTCAGGAACCCAAAGTTGGTTGTGACCAGGTTATGCTGTGGTGGGAGAGCTCTTGCCCTAGCCTCTGCCTTTCTCACTGCTGCTCAGGGGAACGGTGGGAGCAAAACGCAGGAGGGGAAATCGGCACTGCACTGACACCACAATGTCACTTTTGATGTGAACCTGGAAGTGACGTCTCCATGTCAGTGCAATACTCTAGGATTCACCCTTGACTCTGTAAGTTTGGGGGTGAATCTTAGAGCATCACATCGATATAGTGATGTTACTTCCAGTTTTGTGCCAGAGGTGACATTGTGGAGACAGCGTGATGCCATTCATCACAACTCTGCCCTCCCTTCTCCCGGATCTGCCAGTGCTGATCTGGCACCTCTAGTTGTGACTATCTCACAAGTGGGCCATGAGGCCAGGACAGAGGAGGAGGAACTCAGTGTGAGGTGAGAGGGGCAATGGTAGATTTAGGTTTGGCCCTTCAAGATGTGCAAAATGGTGCCCTGACCTGGGTAGCCCAGGCAAGCCTGATCTCCTCAGATCTCAAAAGCTAAGCAAGGTTGACTCTGGCAAGTACTTGGATGGAAGACCTCCTTGGAATACCAGAGGCAGGAGGTGGGGGCAGGATTTACTGAGCCACCTCTGAATATCCTCCAGGCCCCCAGTAGGGGTTAGTCACCAGAGGTTGCCACAACTTCCAGGTGCACAGACACTCACACAAACACAAATATGCACATATTAAAAAATACCAAAAAAGTACAAAATGTTCATGCAATATATCTTGTTGCTCAGTCATGCTATATATTTAAAAATCCTAAACATAAAAGATAAAATATAAACCTGTTCAGTGTTACTTTGATGTGCGATCCCTGCCTTTTATGTTGAGGAGAGAGAAAGGGTGGAATTAGGGTTGCAAGAGGGTCCCACAAAGTTCACTAAGATCAGAAGAGGGTCTAAGGACCACCTCTATAGCTGAAGAAGGACGGTTTCGCCACAGAAACACAGGCAGTGTCCTTAAAACCCTTTGGAAACCCAGTGAAAAACATCAGATTAATGAGGTACGGGATTATCTCCTGCCCATTCTGTTTACAGAAAGAAAATGGTAAAGGGTAATTGGCTGCAATGTGGGGACATTCATTAGTTATGGGCAGGTGACCTTGTCCTAAAAGGACAATGTTATAGAGCCATTTCTCTAAGCATTCTGCTGTGTTCTGCAAAATAGACAAACAAACAAAAAAATAAAACCCTGCAAGTGTAATGGAAATTTCCCCTTATGGCAAAGTTCAATAATATTCCGAAGCTGTTTTATCCCCAGGAGTTTTTTTGTTTACAGAATGAAAAATTTAAGTGGCTGTTAACTGTGGGGGTGGAGTAATAATTTACAGGTAATAATGTCCTGAAAGGACAAAGTTGTAGAGCCCCTTTTAAAATGTATTCTGCCAAAAAAACCCAAACCCAGCTACTGAGGTAATTTTTAACAGGAAATTAACTTTTCCCCCACAAATGCTGCCATCTAGAGGGGACTGAGAGTCTAGAATGACAGTTCATAATCGGTCACATCCTATTATAAGAGTGTATGAGTGTATGGAGTGTATGAAGAGTGTATGAAGAGTGTATGGAGCTGCAGTGGCTCAAGTGGTTAAGACGCTGAACTGCAGGCTGTGGAAGATCAGTAGTTCAGCAGTTCGAGACCCGGGTGCCGCATGATGGAGTGAACTCCAGTCTCTAGTTCCAGCTCCTGCCAACCTAGCAGTTCGAAAGCAAGACAGTAGATAAATAGGTACCGCTTTGGTGGGAAGGTAACAGCGTTCCGTGCGCCTTGGTGTTTAGTCATGGCGGCCACATGACCACGGAAATGTCTTTGGACAGCGCTGGCTCTTCGGCTTTGAAACGGAGATGAGCACTGCAACCCTAGAGTCGGATTCTACTGGCTTTCGAGAAAGGGAACCTTTACCTTTACCTGTGAGCACCACAGATTTAGGGCTGATCCATGATATTTCCAGAATGAATATTTAATTTTATTGATTTAATTTAGAAAACAGATATCCAG